AAAAAAAAAAAAAAATGTGTCTGTAATGCCCCTTCCCAGATAATTTCTATTGACATTAAAAAAACAAAACAGGACACTGTAGATGCTTATAAGGCTAAAAATAGGTTCAAAGTGAAATGTAAGGACTCTTTGCCCTTTCCCCCCACATTCTCTTAGTTTCTTTTTACTCCCCCAAAAGTTTAAATGATGCACGTTTCTCCTCCTAGTTGCTGCGTCACCTGACCTGCCAGAGACAACCATTGTTTATACAGTTCCCCAGATTTTTTTCAAGGCCTGTTTTATTTCTCTTATCCTCAAATGGGATTGCACTTTGCATGCGGTTCTGCGGCTTGCTTTGGATGTCTTTCTGTGTGAGCTGCAGGTGATCGTCTCCAGATGACTCTTTCTGCCCCTCCCTTCTCTCTCTCCCTGCCTGTCCACCTGTCTGTTCCTCCTTCTTGGCCTCGGTTTCTCCTTGACCAGGAGATGGGGGGCATGGGCTTCCCCTGCTTGTGCAGATTTGTGTGCCCCCCTCTTGGCAGTCTCGAGCTGGGGGCAGCTGACATCGCGGGGGGTGTTGCCCTGAGATTGCCGTGTGCCTGGTGGGGCTGGACAGCCCTGCGAATGGTGGGGCTGTGGGCCCGCAGCAAGTAGGCTGCTGCACTGGTGACTCCCGCCCCACAGAGCCTGCAGGGACAGCCCAGTGAGCTTCACCTGAGAACTTCTAAGTGCCCCAGAACCTTCTTTGCCGGTGCAGATAGCTGGCTGCCGAATGGGGGCCAGGAGAATGCACTGCCACTGTCCTGTCGTGGCATCTGGGCACATTTCCTTCCAGACCCCGGGCCTCATTGTCCTCACCCACTCACACAGCGAGGGCTGGGTCCCTGTGCTCGGGATGCTCCGAGCTCCAGGAGCACACCATCCGCAGGCTCAAGGGGGTCCCCTCCCGCCTGTAGTCCCCTTCACGTGAGGATTCTGGTTGTGTCTTGGCAGCAAGCCCTGCTGGACAAGGGGTGCGAGAACAAGAGTCAGGGGACGAAAGAAGAGAAGCTCCTGAAGAGGCAGGCGCCGGGCCCCAGGCGGGACCGGGAGGCCCAGGAAGCTGGTGGCGCCATGAATGTAGAGAAAACAGGTAAAGGAGGTCTGCCCGCCAACCTGGAATAGCCCTCGCTAAAGCTGGCACTGGCAGGGAGGCTGCTCTGGCATTTGGACTGTCCTCACACCCTGTCCTCCTCACCTGGAGGTGGCCCAGCCAATTCCTGGCCACCTTGACGTGGAACTCAGAGACCCCGGCCTGCCCATCCCACTCCAGGGATACCCTCCTCCCACTGCCCGCAGGGCCCCACCAGTGATAAGAGGCTTTGGCCCGTGTGGGCTGGGGTTGAGTTTCCCTGCTTTTTGTCTTTCCCCAGTGCTTGTCAAAAGCAGGCCAAGGGTGGCAGCCTCAAAGACGCCACGGCCTGTGGAGAGAAGCCTGACCCCATCCCCTTTATCTGTGGATGCGTCAGGGACCCAGAGGCTCTAGGACAGGGCTTTGCTCTGCTCCCTCAAGGCCAG